AGCTAGGCGGCTGAAGTTTTGGTATACTGTTCCCCGCCAGCGGGTGACGTGGCAAATTTAAATTCATCCTCCCCGCACCGCGGATAACAAGTACGGCCCCGTAAAAGTTTTTACGGGTAAATTAATGTCTTGGGGACCACGGAGTCTAGGAGGTGGAGATTTTAGGACAATGACCCCCTGCCTGCGCTCGCCTCGCTTGTTCAAATTCAGCGTTCCCGTATCACCTACGGTCTCGTGAAAATTTTGGCCGGTAAACTGTTACCTCGGGAATCAGGGAAAGATATTCACCCTTCAAGGTTTTAACTATTTTCCAATGTTTGAACTATTTTTGTATAGATTAAGGTACAAAGCAGTGAAAATCACTAATAGGCAATCGTTCGATGCGCTGAATTGCACGAAATGCATGATCGCACCGGCTAGTCTGGTGTGCGTTACTATTTATTTGAGGATTGCTTAGAAGCTAGCGAATGGTGGCTTAGATTCTTCCCATCATGTGCCAGTATCAATTTACAACGAAACGAATGAACTTGGTTATCCCGTAGCTGAGTACCAGTTCTCGACCTACTGCCCGAGAATAGCCATACTTGCTGTTGTTTGTATCCGGTTTTTGCAAAATGAAGGTGTTAGCAGCAAGGGAACAAAGATGGTGGCTAAACTCCTTCGACTTGCCCAGTTACCCTTCCATTCCATGTAGTATGCAAATATCTCGTCTCTTAACTCGAGTTTCCCCCTCCTTGATGTGTAGGGATATGTTTTTTTTGTGGTTAGAAATGAAATGGTGATTGTTTTGTCAAGTAATTGTGCGGTGGTAGCTTGGAGATGCTGTCGAATCGCGTCCGATTGTTGGTTGATTCATTGTATGAGTTTTTTTTTTTTTTTGGTTTTTTAAAATATTGTTTATTAGTTTGGACGAGTATTCTCCACGGAACCCCCACAACTCCGCAGCAGCAGCATCTCCATACAGCCGCTCAAGCCTTCGGCCCTTCTCCACGCGTTGCACAGTGACAGAATTGTTTAAATTTGTTCGTTTTCTCAACATCCTGTTGGCAATCCACTGAAAAAAACAGTACGAGCCGTGGAGGTCCTACCCGCATCATGTAAATGGAGAACTAAGGACGGAGTAAAAGGGGAGTTAGGGAATATAAAAATTAAAAAGAACGGTCCAGCCGGACCAATAATTCGAAAGGGTTGAAGGCTAGAGAACATCGTTAAGTGGGAAATGTATGTAAACCGTTTGTCATGTAGAAGGATCATGTGAACAATAGTATGTAAAAGAATTCGGGTAACTCATTGGAGCAAGAGGAAAAAAGGAGGAAAAAAGGGAGTGCTGATGGAAGTATTAGTTCCTAGCAGTCAGGTCACGCCTGGATGCATTAGAAGGCAGAGACTGGGCCGAGAAGAAAGGGATCGAATGGATCGTCGTGAGACGACGAAAAGAGGAAATGAAATAGATTGTGAAACACATATGCGTATTATAAAACTGTTAAGAAGATGTAAGGAGGACATGTAGGGAAGCTAAATGTGAAACTGGCTGTCTGTGTTTCATCCCTAAGCTGCAAACACAGATAGTATGCGGTATGGATTGGGGTGGGAATCATTAAGAACAGAAGTAGAGAGTGAGGTAGGACGTTTCGGTCCATTAAGTCATATACGCCTTAACTCAACGCTGCAACAGGACGGTTGCAGTGCTTCTAGAAGAGAACAGAAAAGAAAAAAAGAGGAAAAGAGGGAGAGGTGACGAGCGTACTTTTGAGGAGTGCCTAGTTGATCGCCTGTGCACGTTTTGGTGTCGTTGTTTTCACCGTGCATTTGGTGTTTGTTGGATGTTCTTTGCAGGATTTCTAATCATTTTCACCGATGTCCGATTCCAACAGTTCAGCCGAAGCAGTGAAGGAGGAAAAGCCGAAGAAGAAAGCGACCAAGAAACGAGCAAAGGTGGATGTACGTGTTAGCTTTCACCTAAATTCATAAAGCTTTCTGATCCTTCTGAAAGGGGCATAAACTCAGACGTGAAAGTACATAATCAAGATTTTTAGCCCCAGGCCATTTTAGCTAGGTTTCTTGATACGAAATCATGGGATCAAGGTTTTTATTAATGTGAAATCATGAGAAAAACAATTTTTGTGTGAAACCTGTGAATTCTAAGTTTTTATTGAAGATGAAATCACTATCATAGTATTTCTGTGAAATCGTTGTCATAGAAATCATTATCATAGTATTAATTTTGGGATCTTTCATACCATAATGTAAGCGATTATGGGTAAGACGCGAAGACATGTAGCATTACTCCCATGCCGGATGCCATAGGTTCCGCTACTCTGTTGGGACTACCAAGGTTTTTCAGTGATTCGTTTCGATGGTAAATTGGTACTGGTGTAGCATGTCAAGCAGTCATAATTGTCATCAGCTTGTTTCTCAGCAACCTCCGAATAATTGGCCAGTGCATAGACCAGTGCGAATATGCGTTTTAGTTCCCCGCAGGTTTTTGTCACTAACGGCACCGGTTTTTCTTGCAGATGCTTCTAGCTAACAGGCCTCCAGGACTGTCAGAAAACATCTCCTTAAAATTTCAGTTTTTTAGCTTTGCTTTTTCCCGAGTTAGCAACTTACCCGAAAAACTCTCCGTGGCCCATAAGTGAGAACCACGCACAATCAATGTCTGGGTTTGAACTCATAGACCTATGTGGACAGGGAATCTTCCCTTGGAATTTTAGCTTTCTGGCTTTTCTGGTCCTCGAGTTAGCAGCTTTTCCGTCAAAAACTTTGGCGAACCCGTTCGTGGATACCACACGGGTAAGAATGCCCATTTTGGGTTTGGGGTCCGTACATGCATGTAGATTAAGTCCCCAAAGTTTTAGCCCTGTAGATCTTGTAGGTCTCGAGATGAAAAATTGGTACAGAC